CGGGGCCGCGCGCGGGGCGGGGGCGGTGTAACGGGGTGCCCCCCCGAGGGTGGTGGTTGGGGGGGCGCTGAGAGCCCCCCGGGCGCTATAGGGGCGCGGGGGGGCCTGAGGGGGCCCCTGAGCGCGTGGGGGTGCGGGGGGCGGTGACGGGGGGGCCCCCTCGGAGCCCCCCCCTCGGAGCCCCCCCCTCGGAGCCCCCCGTCCCTTCACCGTGCCCCCGGTTCGGAGCTCCCCGGTGCCGGCGCTGGGCGCCGCTTCCCCCGAACGCCTCAGGGGCGCCGGGACGGGACGGGAGCCCCCGGCTCCCACGGGCGCCCCCGGAGCCCCGGGCGGCCCTGCAGGGCCTCGCGGCTCCCTGCGGGACCGAGCGCTGCGACCCGCTCCCGTGCTGCTCCTGTCCCACTCCCGTCTGGCTCCCGTGCTGCCCTGTCCCGCTCCCATTCCACTCCTGTCCCGCTCCCGTTCCGCTCCGTCCTGCTCTGACCCGCTCCCGTGCTGCTCTGTCCTGCTCCCATTCTGTTCCCGTGCTTCTCCGTCGCACTCCTGTCCTGCTCCTGCCCTGTTCCATCCCGCTCCCCCCGTTCCTGTGCCGCTCCGGCCCATTCCTGTGCTGCTGCATCCCGCTGCATCCCTCTCCCATCCTGCTCCATCCCACTCCCGCATGGGGAACAGGTCTGCGTGTGCGAGCGGCCGCCCCGCTGCCCGGCCGGGCGCAGGGCCGTGTTCCCGGCCCGCGGCGCCGTTTCCATAGGGAGCCTTTTGTTTACGCTGGTGGTGCCGCCGTCACCCGTGCACGGGGTGCCGTGGGGGACGGGGCTCTGCTCCTCGTCACCCGCTTGGAATCTGGCTGGGAGAGGGGCAGCTCCGCTTGCTTGGAGGGGCTGCCCACACTTAGCTGGGGCCGGGATCGCGGCGGCTTTGGGTGCTCTGGTTGTGGGGAGCGGAGCCGGAGGTGTCCCGGGTTGTCCTTAGGCACAGGCGAGTGTGGAAGCCTTGGTTCTTTGTCCCCTTTGCCACTGGGGAGGAAGCCTTGGAGCTGCACACGCGTCTCAAAGGGAAACGGAGCGGGCGGCCTGGGCTGGGTGAGAGGCCAGCCGGTGGTTTAGTCCGTGTTTGGGCTCCTGGAAAAAGCTGGGAGCAGAAGGATAAACTTTCTGACTTTCTCAGGCTGGACGCGTCCTGCCTCCTGTCTCCCGCTGCGTTCCCAGGGCCCCCGTGCGCGGCGGCCGGAGGATGAGGAGCAGCCGGAGCGGCTCCCCGCGGCAGGCCGCCGGCGCGGAGCTGAGCCTCGCGGGGCTGGCGGCGCCGGTGGCGCGGCGGCCGGGCAGCGCCGCCCTCGCCAGGCACGTGGCGCGCTCCGTCTCCGTCGCCGCCGACGGCAAGGCCAAGAGGAACGCGCTGGTGAGCCCGGAGAAGCCCCGTCCCGCGCTCGCCGCGCGCTGGGAAGCGGGATGTGCAGGGGAGCTCAGCAGCCCTGGGTCTTCCTTGCTCCTCCTTCCCTCCCCTGGTTTCCTCCTGGAAACTCCCCTGGGTTCCCCATATCTGCTGCCAGGGCTTTCCTGATGCTGCTGCAATATCAGTATCCTGGTACCGCAGGGCTTTCAAGCCCCGTCCTGCGCCCTGAGCACCCTCTGCTCCTGCTGGGATTCTCCGTGGCAAGCGGAGTGTTTTTCAGCAGGGTGAATGAGCCCCAGGTCCTTATTGGGCTCTCTAAAAATCCAGTAGTGGAGAATCCTGGCACTCTGCTGGGTAATTCCTGCCAGCTTGGCACTTATTCCCAGGACAGGTAATAAACACAGCCCTTCTCTGCTAGGAAGCTGAAAGCAAATGAACATACTCGTGCTTGCTCAGCAGCGACACGGGAGCCCGGCGGGAGCTGGAAGTAGCTGGGCTCTCTCGCACGGAGAGGTTCGCAGTGCCAGGAAAGCTCCTGCCCGTGCCCGTGCAAGGGGCTGGAAGGGGGCACCGAGAGCAGGGCTGTTCGGGACGCTCCACCCGGCACTGGTGCCGGCACCGCCGCTGCTCCGAGCTCTGCTCACTGCAACTTGCTCCCCCACAGGAAGATGCGGGATCCCGAGCCATTAACAACCTCCGGAGATCCAACAGCACCACCCAGGTTCACCAGCGGGGGAACAGCGCGCTCAGGTACCGCTCCAGCCGCCTGTGTCTGTCCCGTTGTGCGAGACCCCGCCGCTCTGGCTGACACCTCTCCTCCTGTGGGCAAAGCGGATCCTTTCCTGGCTGTGCTTTAACGATTCCCTGTGTGCACCATGGGTTGGAACCTGGCTGTGGAAATCCAGGGGCTGTCTTTTTGTAGGGAGGTCACGGGACTAGAATTTGGGGAAAGAGGGTGTATTTCAGTAGGCTGGAAGCTCCAGGCACAAAGGATTGATTCAGAGGGATGGGGCTGCTTGCTAAAAACAGCCCCGATGGACCTTACCGCCCCAGCCAAGGTGGGAAGGGGGAGTTATCGGCCTTCCAGGTGCAGCCTTGCTGTGCTGGAGACCACGCAACCACTCGTGTATCTCTGCTGAGATCAGGGCTCCTTGCTGAGCAGTCTGCTGGGGCACTGCAGAGCGGGCAGGACCGGGACACCGGCACTGCCGTCCTGGCGCCCTTTGCCTGCATCTCCTCTTAACTGCAGAACCTTCTTCCTTTCTCTCCTCCTCCCTCGGCCGGGGCCGAAGCCCAGAGCAGGCAGGAGACTTCCTGGCCTTCTTTGACAGCCCTTCTGGTGGACGAAAGAAAGGGGCGCCGCTGAGCAAAACCTCCCCCGAGAGGAAGACCACGTGGAACGTCTTGGTAAGGAGCACAGGGTGCCCGCAGGCTGCTGGCTGGAGCTGGTGCTCTGCCGGGTGCAGTCCTTGGTTTTGGTTTGATGGGGGAGTCATGCGAAGGATGTCCCCTGGATCTATGGATGAGGGTGGTGTAGCTCAGCTGTGACGCCAGGCTGGCCCTTCCTCGGCCTGCAGGCAAACCCGGCACTGCTCAGTTGTTGCTCTGGCCCTGGGGTGTTTTGGTCCCTCACCCAATGTGTGCTGCACGGGGCTCCATGCTTGTGTAGGCGGTGCAGGCAGTGCCTCGAGGCTGCAGGGCGCAGCACACGTGGGGGTTTCTCCCTATAAGAGGCAGAAATTGGCCTGCAGAGGCAGAGTCTGTTTTTGAAGAGGTTGGTTTGGTGCTCACACACACTTAATGCTTGCTCACTCCATGGCAGGACGATCAACCACGAGGATTCCCTGGATCATCCGGCACCCATGGCCCCAGCTCCCTTGAGCCACCAGCAGGCATGAGGAAAAAAGAGGCCACCGTGCTCCTGGCAGCCAATTTCACTGCCAACAACAGGTAGGAGCAGCACTGGACCAGGAGCCCTGTAAGCCAGGTGTCAGGAGGAATTAAACAGAAAATTCCTGGACAAAGGAGGTGGTGCTGATGCTCTGTCTCTGCCAGAACAGCAGGTCAAACACGGGGCAGACGGGTGACAGTGTGCGAGGCTGGGCTGTGAGGACATGTTTGGACGCTGCGCAGGAGGCTGATTGATGTGTGGAAGGAGCGAGGCCACCCCGAGTGTAGGAAAGGGACCAAGGCTTGAAACCTTCAGGGCTAGGAGAGACTTGAGCAGCGGCTGCCTGTTTGAATGGCCTGAAAAGCAGGCTCTGCCGTGCCTGCAGTAGTGCGTGTGTGTCAGCCAGCAGCTCTAGGGAGCGGGTGAGCTGCCCGTGAGGCCTCCCTGGCTTTTGCCTCCACGTGGAGCAAGGCCTGATGCTTCCTTTGTCTTCCCTCCACACAAGGAGCAACAAGGGTGCAATGGGCAACTGCGTCACCACCATGGTGCACAACAACTACTCCACGAGCGACAAGGGCCCCGCACCCAAAA